TATATATGAAAGACCCACAGCTAATATCCTCAATGGGGAAAAACTGAGAGCCTTTCCCCTATGGTCAGGAACAAGACCATGATGTCCACTCTCACCATTAGTATTTAATATAGTATTGGAAGTCTTAGCTTCAGCAGTCAGACTACAAAAAGAAATAAATGGCATCAAAATCCAGGAGGCACAGAGAACCCCCCAAAATTAAAAATAAAATGGTCAACACCCCAACATATAATAGTGAAACTGCAAGTCTTAGAGACAAAGAGAAAATCCTGAAAGCAGCTCAGGACAAGAGGTCTGTAACCTACAAGCGCAGAAACATTAGATTGGCAGGATACCTATCCACAAAGACCTGGCAGGCCAGAAAGGACTGGCATGATATATTTAGGGTGCTAAATGAGAAAAATACGCAGTCAAGAATACTTTATCCAGCTAGGATATCATTCAAAATAGGAGTGATAAAAAGCTTCCAGGACAAACAGGAACTAAAAGAATTTGTGATCACCAAACCAGCACTACAAGAAATACTGAAAGCAGTCCTCTAAGCAAAGAGAGAGCCCAAAAGTAACATAGACCAGAAAGGAACAGAGACAGTATACAGTAAAAGTCACTTTACAGGCAATACAATGGCACCAAATTCATATCTTTCAATAGTTAACCCTGAATGTGAATGGGCTAAATGCCCCCAACCAAAAGACACAGGGTATCAGATTGGATTAAAAAAACAAGACCCATCGATATGATGTCTGCAAGAGACTCATTTTAGACCCAAAGATACCTCCAGACTTAAAGTGAGGGGGTGGAAAACCATTTATCATGCTAATGAACATCAAAAGAAAGCTGGAGTGGCAGTCCGTATCTCAGACAAATTAGATTTTAAACCAAAGACTGTAATAAGAGATGAGGAAGGACACTATATCCTACTTAAAGGGTCTATCCAACAAGAATATCTAACAGTTGTAAATATTAATGCCCCAACATGGGAGTAGCCAATTATATAAGCCAATTGATAACAAAATTAAACAAACACATCGATAATAATACAATAATAGTAAGGGGCTTTAACACCCCCCTCACTGCAATGGATGGATCATCTAAGCAGAAGATCAACAAGGAAACAAGAGCTTTGAATGACATACTGGACCAGATGGACTTCACAGATATATTCAGAACATTCCATCCCAAAGCAACAGAATACACATTCTTCTCCAGTGCACATGGAACATTCTCCAGAATAGATCACATCCTGGGTCACAAACCAGGTCTCAAATGGTACCAAAAGATTGGGATCATTCCCTTCATATTTTCAGACCACAGTGCTTTGAAACTGGAACCCAATCACAAGAGGAAAGTTGGAAAGAACTCAAACATAGAGGCCAAGGAGCATCCTACTAACAAATGAATGGGTCAACCAGGAAATTAAAGAAGAATTTTTAAAAATTTATGGAAACAAATGAAAATGAAAACACAACTCTTCAAAGTCTTTGGGAAGCAGCAAAAGCAGTCCTGAGAGGGAAGTATATAACATCAAGCCTTTCTCAAGAAACAAGAAAGGTCTCAAATACACAGACTAACACTACACCTAAAGGAGCTGGAGAAAGAACAGCAGATAAAGCCTAAACCCAGCAGGAGAAGAGAACTAATAAAGATTAGAGCAGAAATCAATGAAGTAGAAACCAAAAGAACAGTAGAACAGATCAACGAAACTAGGAGCTGGTTCTTTGAAAGAATTAATAAGATCGATAAACCCCTGGCCAGACTTATCAAAAAGAAAAGAGAACGGACCCAAACATATAAAATTGTGAATGAAAGAGGGGAGATCAGTACAAAGAATTATAAGAACATATTATGAGCAACTATATGCCAGCAAATTAGGCAATCTGGAAGAAACGGATGCATTCCTAGAGACGTATAAACTACCAAAACTGAACCAGGAAGAAATAGCAAACCTGAACAGACCCCATAACCAGTGAGGAAATTGAAGCAGTAATCAAAAATCTCCCGACAAACAAGAGCCCAGGGCTGGATAGCTTCCCAGGGGAATTCTACCAAACATTTAAAGAAGAAATAATACCTATTCTTCTGAAGCTGTTTCAAAAAATAGAAATGGAAGGAAAACTTCCAAACTCTTTGTATGACACCAGCATTACCTTGATCCCAAAACCAGACAAAGACCCCACCAAAAAGGAGAATTATAGACCACTATCCCTGATGAACATGGATGTAAAAATTCTCACCAAAATACTAGCCAGTAGGATCCAACGGTGCATTAAAAGGATTATTCACCACGACCAAGTGGGATTTATTCCTGGGCTGCAAGGTTGGTTCAACATCCGCAAATCAGCCAGTGTAATACACTACATAAATAAAAGACAAGACAAGAACCATATGATCTAGAACTCAGGAAAGTGCTGTACTTACTTTACAGTTTTCTTCTAGAGATCTGAACCTGTAAAAGGGAGAGACCCATAAGATGAGGTCTGAGAGGGTCCCATACCGTTTCTATCTCCTCAGGACATGTCAGCCTCTTAGCATGTTGATGCTCAACTGAGCTTCAGTGTCAAGATTTTTTATCAAGGATTCAATTTATAGGTATGTAGGTTGAATCGTTGGTAATATAATTAAATTCAATCTTTAGCCCTGTTCCTCTCCTTAGAGGTCAGGTGGTCAGGTTAATAGGACATGGCTCACAGCCTCAACTCTCTTATAACATGATTGTTCTTTCCGGCATGGCCAGCCTCAATCTGGAACAATCTAGGGGCCTACCATGAGTTACCTCAGTAGCATTAACTCAGATATGGTCCTAGGGGCTCACCATGAATAACAAAGACACTTGTATCACTCAGGAAATTGGTAGGTTTTAGAAGCTCTCAGGTATCCAGGACAAAGATAAGACAAATTTTTTTTATTATTTAACATTACATATATTGCTTTGTTCATGTGCAAATATATCAACTAAAAGGTAAATTTCTCTGCCTCCTCCCCCTTTCTTTTCCCACCTTCCCATGATTTAATAATCAAAACCAAATAGAGCTATACTTGAGAAATCTTTCTCCCACTTTGAGTCCGATGAATAAAAACTTGTGCAGCCCACTTGAAATGAATCACCATATTTTCTTCCATACCCTTCATGCTTCTATGTACAAATAAAAGCAGATATGTATGTCTTATTCTCTCTATACAGTCTACACTGTATAGACTCCAGTGTAACCTGCTTTTTTTCACTTAAAAATATGGAAATACATATCTGGGATATATCAGTAGAATACACATTCACGGTTTGGTTAGATATTGACAAATTGCTCTCCCACAGAGATTATATTAATATGTTATTTCAGTATAGAACCCAAATAGTTTCAGACTTCTTGATCTTTGTCAGTTTGAGTGATGAACAGTGGTTTATACATGTAGTTTTAATATGAATTTCTCTTGAGTATCTGTGTATGTTTTCACATTTGTCCTTCCTTTTCTATGAATTGTTTGTATTCCTTGCCTATTTTTTAGGCAAATGTTTGTCATTTGTTGTACTTTGTGGTTACATCTTTTTCAGTGTAGAAATTTAATGTTTTTAAATAGATTTATGAATTTTTTATGGCTTTCTAAATTTTTGTGTCTTCCCTATTTGATTATTTTAATAAAACTATTGTGTGGCTTTTTCTAGTACTTTTATACTTTTTCTCTATGTTTATGAAGGTGTAATTTAGCAGGGCTCCTGGGTGGCTCAGTCTGTTAAGCATCTGCCTTCAGCTTAGGTCATGATCCCAGGTTCTGGGATAAAGCTCCCTGCTCAGCAAGGAGTCTGCTTGTCCCTCGCCTTCTGCCCCTCCCCCTTGCTTATGTCCTCACGTGCACGCGCACTCTCTTCTCTCAAATTAAAATCTTAAAGCTCACATGCACTCTCTCTCAAATAAATAAAATCTTTTTAAAAAGGGTGTAATTTAGCTGTAGTAAAATTTACCCTTTTTGGTGTACAGTTTTGTGATATCTTACAAATGCATTTAATGACTACCACTTCCATTATCCCTAAAAATTCATTTGTGTCCTTTTGTATTCATCCCCTCCTGAGGTCCCCAGGTCCTGGCAGCTACTTATCTCTTCTCTGTCCTTAAGGTTTTGCCTTTTGCAGAGTGTTGTAAGAAATTGAATCATTCAGTGGGGCACCTGGGTGGCTCAGTCGTTAAGTGTCTGCCTTCAGCTCAGGTCATGATCCCAGGGTCCTGGGATCGAGCCCCACATTGGGCTCCCTGCTCAGCGGGAGGCCTGCTTCTCCCTCTCCCACTCCCCCCATTTGTGTTCCTTTTCTCGCTGTGTCTCTCTCTGTCAAATAAATAAATAAAATCTTAAAAAAAAAATTTTTTTTGAATCATTCAGTATGCAGCCTTTCACTTAGCGTAATGCATTTAAGATTTACCCATGTTGGTGTGTTCAAGTCATTAATTGGTTCCTTTTCTATTACTGAATCATTTTCTAGTATATGAATTTACCACAGCTTATTTATCCATTCTCTAGTTGAGGTATTTCCAAGTTTTGGAGGTTATGAATAAAGCCAATATAAATGTTCATGTACAAGATTTTTTCTGAGCATAAATTTTTATTTTATTAGATTCATATCTAGGAATAGAATTGTTGAATTATATGTATGACTATATGCAACTGCCAGATCATTTTCCAAAGTGGCTATATCATTTTGCATTCCCACCAGTAATGTATGAGAGTTGTAATTGCTCTGCATCCTCTCCAGCATTCAATATTGTCAGTTTTTTTTTTTAAAGTCATTCTACTAGGTGTGTAATAGTATCTCATTGTGCTTTAATTTGCATTTTCTTAGTGATTAATGTCTGTGTATTGTCTTTTGTGAAGTGTCAAACTGTACATTTTTTGCCCATTTTAAAAATTGGGCTTTTCTGTTACTATGTTATATGAGTTCTTTATTTTGGATATAAATCCTTTGTTATATATCTGATTTGTAAGGTTTTTCTCATTCTTTTTTTTTTTTTCGCCAGAGAGAGAGAGAGGGCACGAGAGTGTGAGAGTACAAGCAGGAGGAGTGGCAGGCAGAGGGAGAAGCAGGCTCCCCGCCCAGCAAGGAGCCAGATGTGGGACTCGATCCCAGGACCCCAGGATCATGACCTGAGCCGAAGGCAGACTCTTAACCAACTGAGCCACCCAGACGCCCCAGGATTTTCTCATTCTGTGGCTTGTGTTTTCATTCTTTTAATTATCCTTTTCAAAGAGCAGAAATTCTTTACTTTGATTAATTTTAATAAATCAGTATTTTTATCTCTGGATTGTCTCTAAGACATCTTTGCCTATTCCAGGCCACAGATATTTCATCCTGTGTTTTTTTCTAGAAATTTTATAATTTCAGATTGTATGTTTAGATCTGTGATCCATTTTCAGTCATTTATTGTGTTAGATATTAGCTGGAGGTGTTAAGTTTGTTGGTTTTTTTTTTCCCTTGCCAATGGATTCTCCAGTTGTGCCAGACCATTTTTGGGGAAGATTATTTTTTCTCCATTGACTTGCTTTTGTGCCTTTGTCAAAAATCACATTACCATGTATGTGTGCATCTATTTCTGGACGCTTCTGTTCCATTTCATCAGATCTGTATGTCTCTCTTGCAGTATCACACTGTCTTGATTACTGTAGCTTTCTAGGAGTGTGAATTCTCCAACTTCATTCTTCTTTTTAAGTATTGCTTTGGTCTTCTATATAAATTTTGCCTTTCCATGTAAATTTTTATATCAGTTTATTCATTTCTACAAATACCAAAGGTACTTTGGGATTGCATTGAAATGTGTAGATTAAATGTGGAAAAATTGACCTCTTAACAATATTGAGTGTTGAATCTATGAATGTGGTATCTCTCTTCATTTATTTAGGTCTTTGATTTCCTTCAGCAGTATTTTAGTTTCTAAAAGCATACAGATTCTGCATATATTTTGTTAAATTTACACCTTAGTATGTCAGTTTTTGGGGTGCTGCTACAAATGTATGCTTTTAAATTCTTTATTTCCAGTTCTTTGGTAGTATGTGCAAATATAATTGTATTCCACGACTTTGCTAAACACTCTAGATATGAAAACGTTTTCAGAGATTCTGTGGCGTTTTCCACATAGATAATCATGTTGTGTGCTAATATAGGCAGTTCTCTTTCTAAATTGTATGCCTTTTATTCTTGTAGCCCTATTGCAGTGGCTAGGACTTCCAATATTATATTGAACAGAATTGGTGAGAGCAGACATCCCTGCCTTGTTTCCCCTTAGGGAGAAATCAGTTAGTAGTTTCCTAGTACTTTTATAGTTCTTTTAACACAAACATTTCAGTATAGTGATCACTTAGCAAAGGAATCATATGAATTTTTTTTTCCAGATGGCTTCCAGTTTTCCTGATATCATTCCTTGACTAGTGCACCATATGTATGCATATCTGTGCCCCCCACACATGAACTTCAATCAAAGCACCTACTGCATTGCTTTGCTGTTTACTTTTTACTTATCTTTCTCTTAATAGAAGATGAGCATTTTGGGGGGGATAAGAAATGGTGCCTACCCTCAAGGAACTAATGTTGTGAATAATTGGTATTAGATTGGACCATACGAAATTGCCAGTATTAATTTTTTCTGCTTACAAGGTCTAATTATCCGTGTGAGAAATGTTCCTGCATGAGAAATTGTTCATCACTGTTGTGTGCTTATAAGCAAAGCCATGGAGCCTAGAAATACTGATGTAAATGGGATACAACCACTACCCTTGAAGGAGATACTTTCTCTGTGGAAGACAGGGTCTTTACAACATTCATGTGTTTAATTCTGTGGTGAGTCTGTCAATATGTGCACAAATTTAATCTCAGTTGGAATCTACTTGTGATCTTAGCTTTGTACTTCTTATATCTTGGACTATAAGACATTTTGGCAGTGATTTCTGTAACTTACTGAGAAGCTTGACATACTTTTATGTGATAATTTTATGTGGAAAATATACATTGTTCGGTTTGATATGACATTTTTTCAGTCACTTGGTATCTTATAGATTTCCTTTTGAAATAACTTGATATTTTAAAAGAAGAAAGACATTAAGGAAATCATAACACAAAAAATAAAACTGTTGCATTTCCCTACTCCAGTTTTTTGTGTATTTTTTTTTATTGTTAATTATATGTGGAGGGAAACTATAATATTTTTGTATTATATATATTTTTGTAATACTTAGGCTGGTCTTTCACTACTCTATATTGCAAGTCTGGAAAAAATATATGAGAAACTTTGTGTAAGCTTCATGAAGCCTAAGTAGTTATTAACATGATTATTGAATAAGTATTTGTGGTGGGGGGAGGCTAAACTAGCTGGATTTGATTACAGTAAGAAAATGTAATTTTTACATGAAAATATGTTGATTTTAGTTAGTAGAGATGAAAGTTACGGTAGTCACATATTTGATAGCATCAAGAGAGTTGCACAGTTTTTGAGGCAATTAAATTGTATTGGTAAATATATAGTAACAAGACTTTTTAATCAGTTATTCAGGAATTTGCTTATGGTACTGTTTTGGGCTTGACTATTAACGAGATTAAAATCATTAAAACCTTTAAAGCACCATTTTTTTCATTTGAACTCTTGTTTAAAATACATGACTCAGAGAAGACCACCTTTGTGTTAGTAATAATCAATAGAAGTACCCAGGAAATTTACTTTCTTTTGTATTTACTGCCACCAAATGGCAAATTAATAATATTACTATGTCTGTTATATTAATACTGTAGAAGACATTCTAAACGTAATGCCCTGTTAGTATTGTTCTGACAGGGACGCCTGGGTGGCTCAGTCTGTTAAGCGGTTGCCTTTGGCTCAAGTCATGATCTCAGGGTCCTGGGATTGAGTCCCGCATCGGGCTCCCTGCTCAGTGGGGAGCCTGCTTCTCCCTCTCCCTCTGCTTGTGCTCTCTCTGTCAAATAAATAAAATCTTTAAAAAAAAAAATTATTGTTCTGACAAGGTTAATTTGTTCATAAAGAGTTTTGGCAAGAGAAGAAAAAACAAATTTTAATCCGTTTAGAACTGTAGCGGACCTTCTACCAGAGCATATAGTCTGGTTTCTATCTTCTTTAACATACAGAAAGGCATATTAGAACATAGTGGACATCACTATGACAAAGATGATAAAAACCTGATAACTCAGACCTAATAAGAATGTATTTGACAACATACTTTTATATAGGGAATTTAATTCTGACATTTATTCTGTCTAGGTTATTTTACTTGAGAATGATGACTCCAGAATATTTTAGGCCTAATTTTATTTATTTGAATATAAGCCATTTTACTAAAATTATTGGGATATTATCCTTATTATATGAGAGTGTAAAAAAAAAAATAGTAGCAACCCAAATTTTCAGTCTTAGGAAAATTGGTTAAATACAATAAGATGTTACTTTTTAATTTAATGTTACATAGTTACTGAAAGTGTAGTAGAGGAATATTTGAGATGGATAAAGATCCACATTAGTAAATGAGGGAGATGGGGAGAAGAAGTAAGTTACTAAACAGTATGTTATCACAGTTTTTTCAAAAGTACATTTATAGAAAATAATTATCAGTGTTTATCTTTGGGAGATATTGTGATTTCTTAAATTTATGCATATCTAAAATGAACATGTTTTAAATATTCAGAAATTCCGTGGATTGAATATTTTATGCTTTATAGACAGATCCCCATGGACGCATTTGATTATATTATAGTGAATATATTCGAACAGTTTTTTGGTTTTGTTTTATGGGTATTTTTTTGAATAATGAAAATGTCTTATTGCAGGCAGTTCTGACTCAGACTTCACTTTTTGAGTCACTTCTGATTGGTTCATATTTAAAGAAAAGCTTTACAAAAACTCTGCCTTGTTACACAGATTAATAATTTTCTTTCTTAACAGAAGGATAAGACTTCTGAATTAGTAAGATTTTGAATATTACCTAATAATTCAGTGCTTTGTTAAAGTGCTAGTGGTGTTTATAACCTAGCCCTTCATTTCTAGGGTCAGCATATTCTCGCTTTTGATATCTGTTTTCTGCTATAGGCCTGAGATACAACTACTGCTTCTACCAGAGGAAAATAGTATGGGAATTCCTATTATGGTAGGTTATTTTCCAGTAGTCTCTCTGAAGTAATATAGGCAGCTCTTGTAATTCATTAGTTTGTTGGTATTTATGCCTCCTCATAAATTAAGCATAGCTTTTCTACATTCTACATAACTATATGCGAATTCTTCATGTCAGACAAAATCTTTTGTTGTAGACATTTAGTTTATGTGTGGTGGTCCCTGTATTCCTGGAAAACTTAATTATAACAATTTAATGTAAATAGATTTTTAGTGGAGGGGCTGAAAAATCTAAGATCTCTGTGATCTCTATGTTGTAGTTTGGAGAAGAGAATATGAAACAGTTGAATAGTATGGTACTATAATTAGTTTTTTCTGTTTGTTTTTGTTTTTTAACTAGTAAATTACTAGATGTTTTCATTCTTCTCGTCAAGTTGTATGCATCACCTTGCTCATAGCTCATTCTCTTACATGGAATTTGTTTGTAGTGCACTCTGTAAACATTATCAGCCATTCAGTATCACTGGGGAACCTCAATTACGTGGTGATTCCTATGTTTTTAGTGAAAGTAGTTTTAAAAATCTCATAAAATCCAGGGGTGTTAGACTGGAGGCACTTGTGAAGACAGTATAAGCTAGTTCGATACCATTGGCATTGTTTGCTAGGCTTCTTACTTGAAATTCAAATATATTGAAAGATTGTGTAGAAAGGAAAAACGTATGGCTCAGTAATTGGCTTCTTTACCATTATCAGGTTTCAACTTGCTGTACTTTCTGTTTAATATTTTTAATCCTAAATGGTAATACCATTTGTTATTAAGTAGACCTGATGCAAAGTTGTTTTACAACAACAAAAAATCACCCTTACTGAGTTTTGTTATAATTTGTTGAACTGTTTTTCTTATTTTAAAGAAAAGAAGATGATTAGAACTCTATTCTGAAAGCTGCAAGATTTTGTCCATCTTATTCTGGTAGAAGGGGAACAGATTATTGGGAAAACATTTATTAGGTTGTGTTGTTCCAATTGGAATAATTTTGATTGACATTAAAGATTCATACTCTCGAGAAATTTTGAATTCTGTGTGAATTAACCAATTGTGACTCTACCTTACCTTTCAGAATTGTATACTAAATTACCATTTAAAAAACAACAACCCACATAGGATGCCTCTCCTTTTTTGTTATCCACATGGCTTTTGCTGACTAGAATCCCACTGGAAACTCATCCCCTCATACAACCTTGTTTCTGTTCTTTATAAATCACTTTCTAGGGGCATCTGGGTGGTGCAGTCAGTTAAGCGTCTGACTTCGGCTCAGGTCATGATCTCAAGGTCCTGGGAGTCTCTTTTTCCCTCGCCTTCCTCTCCCCCCCCCCCCCCCACCATGCGCTCTCACTCCTGCATGTGCTTTCTCTCTCTCTCAAATAAAAATAAAATCTTTTAAAAGATTTAAAAATAAAAATAAATCATTTTCTAACCATTGGTTCAATAAAAGATGAGTCTTGAAATACCCCCAGCCTAATTCAGTCAAGGATTTGAGTAATGGGTATACAAGACAGGAAAAGAAAAAAAATGTCACACTTAAGAGAGTAAGGATAAGATTTGATTGGGAAAATGGTAACAAATAGCAGACACCATCAGTATCATACGGCTCATTTATTTTTTTCTTTCCTGGTAATGCAGGGTCACAAATTTAACTACTTTTTTTATATTAAGATCGTTGTATAGATTGTAATTTTCATCTTTTACCACTGGATGGTGCTTTTGCGTTGGTTTCTGCAGACTCTGAATGTACTTATAAAAGGAACATTTTAAAATTCATCATAAAGAACAATGAAATTAAAATTTGATAGTGATATAGTTGGTCACATAGACAAATTAAAACTAGTTAAACATAACCATTATTTGTGATATAATATATACTGTAATTATTTTTAAAAAGATAAATTCTTGTGTATGAAACGGTTAAGAGCTATACCTGACCGTATTTTCTAATACAGTCTTCAGTCCACCACCTTAGAAACATTTTAGATGTTTGATTTTTTGGGTAATACTGTAATTTAAATGGCATCTAAATAAACCCGTTTTTTGATTTGTAATGTTAAAAATATATATACAGATAGCTCAGGCTTTTAAAATTGTTTTTGATGATCATCTTTCTTCTACCTAATAGCCATCTATTGAAGCCTTTTATTTCACAAATACTATATTCAAATTCTCTTTTGTTAGTTGCCAAGTGACTTTTTGATAGTTATCCTACTTGGGCAACTTGAGTTTATTTAGGATTGTAACAAACAAAGCTTGAGTTTATTGAGATTGTAGCAAGGCTATAGAGATGCCAATTCAAGGAAATAATAATCTTAAGTAATAAAGCACTCACTTAGGTTTTAAAAAGCAAAGTAAGTACAAACTCTAGAATATCAATGTCTCTAAACCTTTCTCTGAGACCTTCTTTCTCCAATTTAGTCTGTTGTTTCCTTTTCTGTTCTTTAAAGGATTATTTATATGAAAACAAAGTTACAAAAACAAGCATCTGAAATTACCCCTTCTTGTATTCTGTTCTTCAGTAGCTATTTGATAGCTTTTGAGGTATGAATTGGGAGGCAGTTATAGCCCAGCAAGTTTCAAGTCTCAGTTGCTTTGTTCTACATTCAGTGTCCAGCTGTTCTAGTCCCTGGAGTTTTGGGTATGGAGCTGCTCAATGGCTTTGGCCTGATAGGTTTGCTTCTTAACAGTGAATCTTCACCTGGGCAGTGTTCAGATTTTAGTCCTAAATTTTTATTACTGGGGCACCCGGGTGGCTCATTTGGTTGGGCCTCTGCCTTCAGCTCAGGTTATAGTCCTGGTCTGGAATGGGGCCCCCTGCTGGCAGGGGGTCTGCTTCTCCCTCACCCTCTGCCCCTCCTCCCTGCCTGTGTTCTCTCTCTCTCGGATAAACAAAATCTTTTAAAAAATAAATTTTATTACTTATTGGAATGTGAACTTTTGTCATTTAACCCTCATAGAACTTATTTTTCTTACCTCTAAAGTAGTGATGGAGTTTAGTAAATAAGAATCATGATTAAGTGGTAGTCTTACTCAGGAAAAAATATATATATGTGCACATTGGAAGGAAAGAACAAAGTACCCATAATCCTGTCACTGAGTTAACTAATCTGTTGTTGCTTCAAAAAAGAGAAAAAAGGTCCTTCTGATCATTATTTAACATAATTAGAATCCTGTTTTATATATTGTAGGGTTCCACTTAATATTTTATAAGTATTGTCCCATTTTTTAGAAATTCTTTAAAAATTTTGTTTATTCAGTTGGGGCCCCTGGGTGGCTCGGTGAGTTAAGCGGCTGCTTTTGGCTTGGGTCTTGGTCCCGGGGTCCTGGGATCTAGCCCTGCATCTGGCTCCCTGCTAGGCGGGGAGTCAGCTTATCTTTCTCCTTCTGCTCCACCCCCTGCTTGTGCTCTCTCTTTGTCTCTCTCAAATAAATAAATTAAAAAAAAATCTTTAAGTATCATTCAATTTTATTGTATGATATATGCTATGATATATGCTGTATTTTAAATCATTTTATTGTTCAACATTTAGGTTGTTTTGAATGTTTTGTTATAAATGATGCTTGAGTAAAATCATGATATGCACAGTTTTGTAGGCTTCACTTCTATCTACATTCTTGTAAGAGATGCTAGCTTAAAAACTTTGAAAGACTTGGGGCACCTGGGTGGATCAGTCGTTAAGCATCTGCCTTCAGCTCAGGTCATGATCCCAGGGTCCTGGGATCGAGCCCCGCATCGGGCTCCCTGCTCCGCGGGAAGCCTGCTTCTCCCTCTGCCGCTCCCCCTGCTTGTGTTCCCTCTCTCGTTGTGTCTCTCTCTGTCAAAGAAATAAAATCTTTAAAAAAAAAACAACTTTGACTTATCAATGAATGCTATTGACAGCAGTTGGCAAACTTTTTTCCCTAGAAAAGTCTCAGTTTACTCATTTTATCATCCCTCATGGTCTCTCTGGCTTGGACAGTTGGATGCAGTAGCCTGATAACTGTTTCTGTCTTTAGTATCACCTCATTTTTAGGCCATCTTTTATATTGCATCCACAGTGAGGCTTCTAAGATGCAAATCTAATTATGTCGCTCTTTGACTTAAAGTTTTTTAGTGGTTTCCTCATTCTGCAGGTTAAAATGTATATACTTTAATGTGGCATTCAAGGCCCTTCATGATTTAGCCCCTGTCTGATTTTCCAGACTTATTTTAATGCAACCCTACTATATATTTTGTTGATAAGCAAGTAGGAAGGGAACATTCTAGGCAGGGGGAACATCATATTCAGAGGCACAGCTGCAGGAAACAGCATGGTACATTTAAATTGCAACAAGTACATTTACATGTGAAACTTAAAAGACAAGGTAGTGGTGGTCTTTAATATAGTGTACTTTAATAAAACTTAGTTAACTAAATAAAAGCAGGCAAATAACATTTTATCTATGATTTAGAAAGTAACTGGTGATAAAGAGAATTATTAATGAAGACTCTTGGTTACAATGACAGAAATCCCAACTCAAAATGACTTAAATGCAAAAGGATATATATTGGCCAGGCAGTAGCAGGGTGGTCAGGCAGAGCAGGATCTAGGACTTGTTGACAATAGATTCCCCACCACCCCCACCCTTTTTAAATTTTGTCCTTTTTTTTTCTCTCCTACAGGCAGGTTAGCTTACATTGTTCTTACCTGTAATCCTAAAAGAAAAGAACGTAGGTATCTTTCCTGATAGCAATGGCAAGAAAGCAAAGTCCTGAGGAAGACCCTGTCTGGCTTTGATCGTTTGTTCATCCCTGGACTAGACATGTGACCAGGAGTAGGTGGTACTCTGGCCAGTCCTAGGTCTCTTATGTATCTTTGGAGCAGCTGAACTCCTAAAAGGAAGGGATTCTTGTGAAAGAATCTATGTTTACTACAAGGATGGATAAACTGGTGAAAGGAGAACCAAGAATTGAGAGACCAGTTAAGAGGTGGTTTTGATAACTTGGGTGAGGACTGAAGTGGGTCTGTAAT